CGCCGCCAGGTCCTGAGCCTGGGGCTGCCCTGGGGCGACGCGACGGTGGAGAGGAACATGCCGCCCTTAAAGTTCTATCACGACTTCCACTGTAAGAGCTGGAGGGACGGGCGCTTCTGTGCTGGGGTGGGGACGGGGCCCCGTGGGATGTGGGCTGAGCCGACCTCTGTGTCCCCAGCTGAGATCTCCCAGTACACCATTGTGTGGGGGCCCTGCTGGGACCCGGCCTGGACCTTGATCGGCCAGTGTGTGGATCTCCTCACCAAGCCCTCCGAGGACCCCAGTGCACCATTGCCCTGGTGGGACAAGAGCCGCCTTCTCTTCCATGGGGACTGGCACATGGACATCGAACAGGCCAATCTGCACCAGTTGGCCACTGAGGTGGGTGCTGCTGGGGTAGGGAGCAGAGTGTAGCTGGGGGTCAGCTCACACCTGCCTCTCCACCTACTTGTCCATGCAGGACCCCTACAACACCACGGAGAACATGCACTGGGAATGGAGCCACCTCTCCTTCCACTGGAAACCCGGGCAGTTCATCTTCAAGGGCAACCTGGACATCAACGTCCGGACAGCCTCCAAGTGAGCATGAGCCCAGGAGCACAGGGGCTGCCACCAGTGCCGGGGTAACTGGGATCTCGTTCCCTGTTCAGGTATGACGACTGCTGCTTCCTGCACCTGCCTGACCTGTGTATGACGCTGGACCTGCAGTGGCTGTGCCACGGGAACCCCCACGACCACCACGGCGTGGTGCTGCGCTCCCCCGAGTTCCTGCCCGAGGTGCCGGTGGGGCAGCAGTACGACTCCTACCGTGCCTTCCGCTCCGAGAACCTCAACCTCTCCATCCGCATGGACCTCACGCGGCCCAGCGAGGGTGGGTGACGGCACCCGGGGGGATCCCCTGAGGCCAGGGCAGGGCTTGCTGGTTTTAGCCAATCTTATGGCTCCTGGGTTGGGTGCTGTGTGTCCCTGCCCTGAGGTGCTGGCTGACAGCAGGTATGTTCTCAGAGCACTCCCAGCCCAGGATCCTGCTCTACAGCAGCACCCTCCGCTGGATGCAGAACTTCTGGGCCACGTGGACCAGCGTGACACGCCCCATCTGCCGTGGGAAGCTCTTCAACAACATGAAGCCCAGCAAGAAGAAGCTGGGGCAGCACTACAAGCAGTTGTCATACACGGCGCTCTTCCCCCGGCTGCAGGCAAGTCCTGGGGGCGGGGGTCCCGTGTTATCTCCCCGCTCTGCCCGCGCTGGGCTCTCAGCCCCAGCTCTCTGCTCCCTCCTCCCTTGCAGGTGCATTACTGGGCCTCCTTCGCCCAGCAGCGGGGGATCCAGGTGGAGTGCTGCCAGGGGCACATCTTCACTCGTGGCACCCAGCGGCTTATCCCCCAAGGTGAGTGGGGGCCCAGCAGACAGTGGTCCCGGGCAGGGCAGGGCCCCCAGCTGACCCCTCTCCCCGTCCCCCAGCTGGCACAGTGATGCGACGCCTCATTTCGGAGTGGAGCATCACGCAGATGGTGAGCGACCTCAGCCAGGTCACCGTGCACCTCATGGCCTCCACCTGCGACGAGAACGCCGACCACCGGCTCGACACCCTGGTGAAGAAAACCCATCTGCTGAGCCTGTCCTCCCTCACCTACCAGCGGCACAGCAACCGCACGGCTGAGGAGGGACCGCTGCAAAGGCAGGGCATGGCAGCCTGTGCCAGCCTGATGGCATCCCCTGGGGACAAGGGGACCTTGGGCTTTGGGTACAGAGGGGAAGGGATTTGGCTGGAGAGAACAGACCTGCAGGGCATCTGATCTCTGGAGCGCCCGGCCAAAGGGATGCAGCCCCAGCAGCCCTGGTGGAGGGCCCCGAGGTGGTCCCTTACGGTGGTCCAGAGCGTGGCCCCATTCTCTGCCTGCAGGGACTGGCAGGTCTCCCAGCCCCTGTGTGTGAGGCCCGTGGGCAGGGACTGGGGGTGGCTTTGCCACACTGATGCTCTGATCCTCTGTGCCCAGGAGCTGCCCCTGCGGGATGGGGACGATGGTTTCCACACGCACCAGCTGCACCTGGTGGACCTGCGGGCGTCCTGGACCACCACCAACCGGGACATCGCCTTCGGCCTCTACGATGGCTACAAGAAAGCAGCCGTGCTCAAGCGCAACCTGTCCACCGAGGCCCTGAAGGGGCTGAAGATTGACACGCAGCTCCAAGCCAAGAAGCTGAAGCGGGGCCCGCTCTCTGCTCACTCTGTCCCTGCCCGAGTGACTGCTCCCATCACCAGCGGCCGTCCTGAGAGAGCCTCCTCGGGGGGTGAGCACAGCAGGGAGTGGAATAAGCTTCCTGGCTTGGATCAGTAAGAGTGTAGCCAGCAGGACTAGGGTAGGACCTAAAATCCTGTGTTCAGTTTTGGGACCCTCACTCTAAGAAGGACATTGAGGGGCTGGAGCATGGCCAGAGAAGGGCAACAAAGCTGGGGATGGGTCTAGAGCCCAAGCCTGGTGAGGAGCAGCTGAGGGACCTGGGGCTGTTGAGCCTGGAGAAAAGGAGGCTCAAGGGAGACCTTCTGTCTCTCTGCAGCTTGCTAAAAGGAGGTTGGAGCGAGGTAGGGGTTGGTCTCTTTTATCAAGGAACAAGTGATAGGACAAGAGGAAACAGCCTCAAGTTGTGCTGGGGGAGGTTTAGGTTGGACATTAGGAAAAATATCTTTACTGAAAGGGTTGTCCAGGCCTGTTCCAGGCTGCCCAGGGCAATGGTGGAGGCGCCATCCCTGGAGGGGTTTCCAAGCCATGGAGATGTGGTGCTGAGGGACATGGGTTAGTGGTGACCTGGCAGGGCTGTGGGAACAGTTGGACTTGATGATTTTAAAGGTCTTTTCCAACCTAAACAAGTCTCTGATCCTAGGGCAAAGCCCATAGCCAGCAGTGGGAGCCCTAGCCCAAAGCCATGCCTGACTTTACCCTGTCACCTCCAGCCAGCCCCCCAGAGCCTTGCACTGACCTCTTCTCCTTCCCCAGGGGCCTACATGCTGCAGAAGCTCATTGAGGAGACGGACAAGTTCGTGGTGTTCACGGAGGAGGAGTCGGGGCCTAGCGAGCAGCTCTGTGGCATCGCCGCCTGCCAGACCGACGACATCTACAACCGCAACTGCCTCATCGAGCTGGTCAACTGCCAGGTACCTGCCCCCGGCCAGCCTGCCTGGCCCCACACCCTGCTCCCCGGGGCCGTGCTGGCCCCACGAGGGCTTGTCTGACCCCAGGGTCTCTGTGCCCGCAGATGGTGCTGCGCGGTGCGGAGACAGAGGGCTGCGTGATCGTGTCCGCCGCCAAGGCCCAGCTGCTGCAGTGCCAGCACCACCCCGCCTGGTATGGGGACACGCTGAAGCAGAAGACCTCCTGGACCTGCTTGCTGGATGGCATGCAGTACTTCGCCACGACGGAGAGCGGCCCCACCGAGAGGGAGCACGGGCAGCTCTGGCTGGAGGTGAGTGGCTGAGGTATTGTAGAATCACAGAATCCCAGCGCAGTGGGGCTTGGAAGGGACCTCTGGAGATCATCTCATCCAACCCCCCTGCTCCAGTGGGGTCATCCAGAGGAGGTTGCTCAGGGTCACCTCCAGGCAGGTTTGGATTCTCTCCAGCGAAGGATCCTTTACATGGGGGCGGGT